CCTTCAAGCCCGTGCTATTTTGGGGCAAGCCGTCCCGTCCTGTCCCCCCCCCCAAAGGAGAAGCAGACCCAAGGCCGGCCCCCACAGCAAATCCGTGGGGAAACTCTTCAACCTGGGAACTTTTCTCCGCCGAAATACCCCAGCACAGTAGGCGACCCCTCTCTTGGCTCCACTGCGGCGTGGGAAAGCTTTGCCCCACGCATCTCCTAAGCGCGGCGTGGGGTGTGGGGGGGTCACCATTGTGGGGGGAGGAGGGCACCTTTGTTGTCCCCCCCCCCCAAGCACCAGCATCAATCTCTGGGTGAGAGGGAGGTACGGGGATGGGGGAGCTCCTGCCTTCCCCGCGTGCTGCGGTCCCCGGCCTCGCGGCTGCTTTTCCCGAGTGGGAGTGGGAAGGGGGTGGCCACCGGGATGGTCGCACGGCCACCCCTCTAGACACCGATCCCAGTTTCAAGCTCTGCTTTTCCCTTTCTCTATTTTTCCTACGCACTTAGGCCGCCCTTATTATTATTTCTCCATCCCTCCTTCTGTTGGCAGTATCTCCTATTGGATATATCACCTGCTAATTAACCTAAGTAACTAATAAGCGCTCTCATTGTTCTTTCAGATCACTAATAACCGTGTTTAAAAGACTTGAGCCCTAATACCAATCCCTCTAGGGCTTCATAGGTGTATTTTCAACCCTTTATCGTTACTTATTATTTCTCTTCTATTTATTATTTCTCTTCTCCTTGTTATTTCTCCTCTCAAATGCTGTGGCCGCTTCCCAAGAAGCGCACCGGCGCCCGCGTCCAGAGCAGTCTGAGATCCCTTCACGTGGTCTCACGGATGCAGGGTTATGCCAAAAACGTGACGAGCGGTGATGCTGTTCCAGACCCGGGGGGTAGCAGAGCGCGAGGAGCGGTTGGGAGGTGATTTGAGCCCGGGCGTTGAGTCTGGGGAGGTGCCCCGTGCCCAGTGGGTGCCGGTGGATGGTGCCGCTGGAGCCAGCACGGCCACGGCCACCGCATAGTTGGGAGCTGCTTCGCCACAAATCTCAAGTATCGTGAGGTCTTCCCAGGGCAGGGTAAAGCAACTCATCCACGGACGAGAGGTTGGGGTAGCTTCGGTGAGGGTCATGATCCTTTGTAAGTGATTCCCCAGGTTCCCACCGCCCCCGAGCTGCTGGGCTGGCCTGTGCAGAAACACACGACAATGGGTATATCTCTCACCTGATGATTTTTATGATTCAGTAAAGCAGCCAGTTTTGGTTTTCACCTGTCCTTGCCAGGTCTGAGCCTGTTCTGCTCTAAGGCTCCTGTTACCCTTCAAGCACTTGCTATTTTTTTTAATGTTGCTGTCTTTACTAATGTTCAAAGGTAAATTTTATTTTTTTTTATTTTAGTTTCAATGAATCCTCCTTTTCTCAGATTAGCATTGTTTTTCTTCCCACCCCCACCCCAGTCCTCTGGTGTCTACCTGATTGTGCATGAATTCTCAGAAATAATTGCCAGTAGTTCAGCAAGTTCATTAACTGATTCCCCGAAGACCCTCAGATGCGTGTCATCCAGACCTGATGATTTGTATATTAAATTTTTGCAAGTATTCCCTTACCTGATTTTTTTTTTTTTTTGTATCAACAACTATATTGGCAAGTCTTCATTATTTCTAATTGTCAATATCTCTTTGTGGTGGTGGGTAAATTGATTCCAAAACTTGTTCACCGTTTTACAGTCATTACTCATCTCACCTCACACATTATTGGATCCACCTTCTATTTGGAGCTCCTATCCAGTGATGTTCTGTACAAGTCAAAACGTACATCCAGTTCTCCCTGCTTCTTTCAGTGCTAGCAACTGGGAGGTGGCTCTACTTTTACGGTGTTTCTCTCATTTCTCTTTGTGGGGCTGGGAGCAGGGGGGCTGATATTTTTTTTCTCCTGCGACTGTAGCCTTAGCATATTTTAGGATGTTCTAGCTGTCTCCCACACTTAACAGTTTTTATATGTCTTTTCATTCCCACAAGCTCCTAAGATTTCTCAAAGAATTAATGTCTGAAACCACTATATATTGTGCGACAACCCATCACTTAATACAGTATATTGAATCATGCACTCTATCATCACAGCTGTTGAAATTAGTGACTGCTAAGGGTATATATACCTTAGAGGACCTTGGCTTTAGTACAACGGCTTGTTATTATCCAACTCTCACAAATTATTCTTTCTATCAAAAAATAGATGGCTGCTCATGCATTTAATTTAGATTTGTCTACTACTAAATACACAGTTGAGATTGCAGTTGTCAGTGGTATTTTTCCTCCGGCGAAAACCTTATGGCCAGATCTGTCATCACCTTAGGATGTAACTCCTCTTGCTTCTGTCTAATTTTCCAAGCCTCTGGTATATAAATCATAAATGCACAGTCTGTGCAGTGTTAAATTTTTAGGGCTCTCCCTTTAGTAGTAGTTGAATGTGAATACATAAGGACAAAATTTGACCTTTAAATGACTATAAAGGGCCAAGGCAGATACTTGGCAAGCTTTTCTTATTGCAATATTAATCAAGCAAAGAATCATCATAATCCTGGAAACTAAATAGCCATTGTAGTGATTTTATCACCAGGGAAATTGTTCATCTGTCAGTAAGATTGTTACTAGGAAAGGGAAAATAGGGAGTGTTAAAATTGCTTTAGACCACTGAATCACTGAGTCCCTCTAGACTCAAAGCTTGAATTGTTTTTTGAGAGGGGTGGGTTGAGAGGGGTTGCTACAGGAAAGCTGTAGGTTAATCAGTTTCAGCAACACCAGTGAATGTAAGCCTGATCTCTCTTGAGGACGTGAGGAGAGTACATGGGAGAAGGTGGGACGGAGAAAGGGACAGGGAGGCTTCAGAAACTTAATTGTTTTGTCATTTTTTGTTTCTGGATGGCCCTCTCAGAGAGAAGGAAGAGGTTGTTGATAGAAAGAAAAAGAAAGAAGGTGGGGGGAAAACCAGCATAATGTTCACTGCCTGTGTTTTCATCTAATTTAATCCAGTGGATATTAATGAGGATGAATACGGTGGAGACAGAAGGAGACGGGCTCAGGCAGGCAGGACTGACAGAGATGTGTTTGTGTGGGAAGCGTCCGTGTAGGGCCCAGAAAGCCCCTTGGGAAGGTGTTTTGACCCGTGGGGCTCAACGTGGTGTTACCATGAGCTGTGACACAGGTGTGTGAGGAGACCTAGCCGTGCAGGATTGTCCTTGGGGTGTGCTGGGACAGCCGGTCCCTCCATAAAACCGCCTTCGGCAGATGACATCTTTGCTGGTGTCCTTGCACGGTGGCAGTGGGCGATCATAGCGTACCCAACCGTGCCATAACCTGAGGGGCAGGGCTGCTAGTCTGCGGGTTGTGCTGGAAGGGGAGCTTTATGCTTCTGCTGGGGTGGGACACCTCCGAGTGCAGGATGCCCCCGGGGTGGGGAGCAAGCGTTGGCGAGGACGGCTACACAGCGGTTCTTGTAGGGGTTGGGGGTAGATGGTCTGCGTTGAGAGCCACCTGCAAGATGTGACGGGACTGCCACCCAGCAAAGAGGGTTTGCACCAAGGATGGGTGAATTTGGAGGTGGGAAGCGTTTGTACGAAAGGTGCCTCTGGGACATTTGTGTAAGATGTCATGAATCGTCTCCACACAACAAATGCGGAGAGTGGGGGGGGGGGGGGGGGGGGAGAGGAGAGTCTGTGCGCGCACGTGACGTGGATCCTCTTTGTACAAAAGCGTCTCTTTGTGTGGGAAGTGGTGTCTTTTCTGTAGAGGGCTTTTTTGGAGGAGCTTGTCTGATGGCTGCCTGTGAGGGAGCGGGGGAGGGCGGCGTGATGGGTAAGCGCCTCCACCAAAGACTTTTAGGAGGGGGACGGCGTGCGTGGAGCCACCAAGGACGCACCGAGGATGGGTACATGGGGGTGAGGGTCCCAACGGGGGTGTGAAGGTGGGCGTGCAGGCCACACCATGCCAGAGCATCCCTCCAGGGCGGCTGCCCTACATCCCCCGGGGACCATCGGCCACCCCGCGCAGCATCCCTCTCTGCCGGGCAGGCCACGGCCACCGTGTCCTTCATTGTTGTCACCCCCAAGATTGTGATACTGTCACAAAACTGTTGCTAGGCAACAAATGTAGTTACCGGGTCTCAGCGAATAGCTGAAGGGGAAAGTGAAGTGTTGCACCATTGTAGAGTAACCATAGCAATGACCTACTATTACAGACTAAAGAATTATCATTAACAATGTTAAAGTATCAAACAGAGGGCCCAGGATCCTGAGACTTCCAGGCAGCATCTCCGCATAATTGGGTTACCCAGGAAGAGGTCCCAACTCTTTCACAGCCCTTGGCTCCCTATCTTCATCACCTTGGTTTTGTTTTGGGGGTTGTTGTGGGTTTTTTTGTTTAAGTAAAGCGAATGCGCTGTGCGTTGGAGACCCTTGTAAAACAATAGGAGCGCCCACCAGAGGAAAAAGATAGAGGTGGATTGGTGTGCAGAGGGAAGAGATAAGCAGGAAAGGTCCACTGTACTGCCTCAATATCATGTATGGGTTTGTTGGGAAAAGGTAGAGGAAGGACAGTGTCCTTCGTGATGGATCGGTTGTTATTCAGGTCAGGTGTTCTGTTTAGGTTAAAAACGCATATGCCAGGCTAAAATCAATGTAAAATGGAAAAGAAATAATCCAAAGCACGCCAGCCCTGAAAAGTAGACACTTGTTTTCGCCAGGCGGGTGAGGCGTGTTAACAGAGCTTTACCTAGCAGGGTGCTTTGGGGTGTCCCTTTCCCGGGCGCGGGGCACAGTCGGGATCTCTGGTCTGGGTGGCCGTGGGTGTGCATGAGTGTGTGTGTCTGCCCGTGCGTGTGCCCAGCAGCCCCCCAGGCTCATCAGTGGGGCAACCCTGGACCCGCCCCCCAGGCTCCCCCAGGACCAGCCACCAGCAGTGAGATGGCTTCCCCAGCAAAATGACCCCCCCAGTCAAACTGTCACCTTTGTATTTTGCAGGTACAGAGCGCCACGAACTAACTTCCTGGAAGAGTTTTCCATCTATTTTCAAGTTCTTCAGTGAGGCGGTAGAGGCAAAGAACAGTTCAGTGAAACCAACCCCAACGCGGCGCTCCAACAGGATAAAATATGAAGAATTGTAAAAGGAAAGGAGGGGAGGGGAAAAAAAAAAAAAAAAAAAAAAACAACAAAAACACACACACACAAAACACACCACCACCAACCACCTCTTCACTGCTTGTTTTCTGCAAGGAGTCTCCCAGCCCCTCATTAGATTGTTTTCTTCCTAGAGCACAGGGTCGTGATGTATACATCTAAATAGCGTTTTGCATTATTTCTAGATGAGTGCAACTGTCAAAGCAATATGGGTTCACTGGTTGTGCTTCCTGTGGGCTGTAACTTGGATTTCGTGCTGCCCATCAGCGCGCAGATTAAGGCTGACAGTGGTACTGCACAGTGCAGCATGGTGCAGCTCTAATTGCCCTGACATAGCCCTGCACCAAGCTGATGCCAGAATTTAACAGCTTCGTTGTGGTCCTATCGCCTGCAGGATTTTTTGCTGCTTCCTTCTATTTTGAGACAGAACAAAATAGAAATTACTCTTTCTCAAAAGACAGCTCTAACTCAGAAGTGCTAACCAGCCCGTGATTTTACACCCAATAAGCCTTCTCTTTCTCTGGGACCAAGTGGGATCAACTGTTGACTCTTTCATTTTCTGCTGGTAGGAGGGTCCAAGAAGTTTGGTCCAGATTTGTAGGAAAGCCCCTTTGTTGTAGAGATTTTCTCCTCCTGCCAGATCAATGGCATTATCTGTAGATCTTCTCTTCCTTTTGAAAGCGCCACTTAAAAAAATGCCTATTCATTAGCTGGCTGGATCACACTGTGAAATATGACAGAGGGAAAAAAAAAAAAAAAAAAGAGACACATTGCACATTTTCCTGTTTATTTTTAAACGCAAAGATGCTTCCGTTTTCATATGCGGGGTTTGTAATGATTTTGACATCCTGTGGTTATTCCTTTTCCCTAAGATCACGGGTTCGCCCCCGCTTTCCCAGGCTCTGGGGATGGCGGGGGGGCGGCCTGTGGGGCTGCCCTGCGTGGGGACCCCACTCCACACTTGGGGTGTGGGAAAGAAGGGGAGGGGGAGGGGGGGAAGAGGGATGTGGCTGCAGCCACTGTCATCAGTGTCAGCAGCTTTTCTCCTCTAAAACATCTGATAAACGACAAGACCTGCCTGATAGCGCGCGTGCTAATTAAGCTCCTTAATGTCGATGATGCTGAATTAAAGTGATCTTTTTCTTCAATGGCTGTGCCCGCCTCACCTCTGGTGATGAGGCGATGCCCAAACACCAGGGTTTGGGACCCCCATCCCAAACCCCTATCCCCCCCTCCATATAGTTTCCTATCCCACAACTGGAGGGTCTGGGAATGGGTGTGTGTGTGTGTTGTTAAAACGAGATGATGTCCAGACCGGGGGTCCAGAGCAAAGACAGCAGTGGCCATGGTGGGGTTGCAAGGGGAAGCCCTGCTGGATTTGGGCTGAAATCCTCCACTTGGGGGGCTCTCCCCATCCCTCTGTGCTCATACAGGCATCAGAGTTTCCTGTATGTCCCTCCCCCGCATGCCCCCTGTCCCCTCCCCACCCCAAATCCAGCCATCTCTCTGCATTTTAACCTCTCTCCTTTCCAAATATCCCCACCCCCTCCCCAATCCTCCCCGGGCAGGGCGGGGGGGAAGGGTCAGGTCGTGCCTACTCGGAGGGCAGCGCAAAATCTGCTCCTGGTGGTTTTTCTTCCTGGAGGGGAGCCTGTTGCTGCCCCCCCCCGCCTCCCCCCATCACCACCGAGGTCACCGCCTTTTCTTCCCCGTCGAAGGATGCTTCGGCCGGCCTGACCCGACCCCCCCACCCCAGCCTGTGCCCACCCCAGCCCCCCCGCACGCCGTGTGTGTTTTGGAGGGGTGGAGGTGGAGGGAGAGGAGGGCGTTTACATCGCGTGTTTTGGGTGTCTGTGCGTCTTCCCACGGCCGGGAAGGGAGAGATTTGCTCCCCCTCGCCCACTCCGAGGTGGCAAAAATAAGGTCTCCGGGGTGCCAAATGTCGCGGGAACGGATCTATTTTTGTAAGTGTCGGAGAAAAAAATAAATGCACAAAAATTTTTACTGTAATGATTTGTCCTTTTTATTCTATTTTATTTTCTAAAATTGTTTAGGGCTTTATTTTTACCGTGCCCCTAGCCCGGCTCGCGTTAACGCTTCTGTAGGGGCTGGAAAGCACAGGGGTGGTTGCTACGCTTGCACTGATCAAAAAAAAAAAAATAAAGATGCTCTTTTTCTCTCCTCCGTGAGCGCTTTGTGTCCCCCGCGGGAGCCGCGGTCCCTGGTGGGTAGCGTGGGGCTGCGTGGGAGGCAGCTCCCCCACGCCCCCGCCTGGGAAAACGCGAGGGGGGTGTTGGGGGGGGGGGGGGGGGGGGGACACACAGGCGTGTTTGCAAACAGGACCCCGACCGGTTTTGGAGGAGGGGGGAAGGTGTGAGCTGCCCCCCGGGACCCTGTGTGTGTGTGTCCCCCTAATCTCCAGCCCACGCCACCACGCAGGGATCCTCGTGGGATGAGGGGGAGTGTGGTGTGTGGATGGGACGAGGCTCCTCCGTGCTGGCTGCGTGTCCAGCCCCACGGCCCGTGGGCTTCCCCCCCACACACTCATCCCCTCCCGCGGGAAGCAGCGCAAGGGCAGCCGCCCCGTGGTCCTTCTGTCCCCTTTCGCTAAGTCTAAACTAAATAATATAAAAATACACCCTGGGAGTGGGGTTTGACCGGTTCCCCGCAGAGAAGGACCTTGGAGGAGGGGGGGACGGAACGGGGACGGGCAGTGGGGGAGGCGGAATCTCCGCCCACGCCCGCGGAGGCTGCGCGGGCTGCAGGAAGGGGGGGACCGCAGCAAATGTCACCCTGGGGGGAGCTGGAAGAGAGTGGGGGGCACGAGAACAACACGGGGTGTACCGCCACGTCCGTGTCCCGTGGAAAGGGGACAACGTTAGCCCTGCAGCACACTTCGGAGGGATAAACACTGACTTAGCTGATTCCTTCGGATCGATTTTTTTTTTTTTTTTTTATTTCAAGTTGCACACCGCTGGTCCCTTACGCCGTGATGTCTTTAGCAGGTCTGACATCAGCCTCCTCGAGATTTCATCACGGGGGAAACTCCCTGACATCTAACGTCATGCAACAGCCTGTACCCTGGGCAACTTTGGGGCTGGGCATACAAAAGTGACATGAAAAAAAAAAAAAAACAAAACCAAAACAAAACAAAAAAAAAAAAAAAACACCACCACACACACCCCAAACAAAACAAAACAAAACAAAAAAAATGAAGAGTAAAACTAATCCTAGAATAGCATCTATAGGAGAATCCCCCAGTTCCTCATGACCCAAAGGCTCACGGCCCGCCTGCCCAAAAGCTTCACATGCCGTTGTGTATGGCCGAAATGACATGGTTGGAGCAATGGGCCAACGAGAGTAGTGTATGCTCGCCAAGAAGAGCGACCAGGTAAAAATATTCCTCGAGAAAAACAGCCAGAGGACCCCCAAACACAGAAGGAAGGAGGAGCGGGGGGGGGGGGGGGGGGGGGGGGGGGGGGTATGAGGCAAAAAAAGCCAAGAAATCCCTCATCTGTGTTGTGCACACATGGCGATGCACTGGTTACAGTCGTCGCGGTGTGCTTCTCCCGGTCTCAGTCAAAAGATGCTGCTGCTTTTCATGGGAATGCGCATTTTTCCTCTGTCCCCGAGAAACATCACTAATTGTTTTGCTTTGTTTTGTTTTGTTTCCCCTCTAGGAATTTCATTCAGAAGTACAAATGAGAAGTGTCACATCTAAAACTGCGTGGAGCCACATATTGCACCGTTCTCGAGTCAGCCAAAAAAAAAAAAAAAAAAACCAAACTGCCAAGAATGTGTACATCCATCGTACACCCGGGTAGAGCTACATCTTACGGAGTGGAGGGATGCGTGTGTGTGTGCCTGTGTGTGCCTTCGTGGATAGCTGGGTCTCGCAGGGATGTGTGTGTGCGTGCATGTGTGTGTGTGTGTACCCGCATTATGTTAGCGTACTCCACGAAGTGTGAAAAATGTACTTCTCGAGAAACTTGGAAGGAGATGTCATTTATCATTGTACCATCATAATACCACAAATTTTCACTTTTCTGTTCCATTTTGGATCGCATGTGTTTGTGAGTATTTCACTAGATCAGTGACAGCTCTTTATTTGCATAATTATATGCTCTGGTCTGAAGAGAAAACTAACCCCCAAATTTCATGGGTCACCAAACTGCGACAATCAATGTTTTATCACGTATGCTAAGCAAAACCTAAGGAGCTATATGAAGTTTCTTGGGGAGTTTTTGCTCCTCAGAAAATTAAAGATTTTGTGCCTCTTGAATGGATGCAAAATCTTTCCAAGCTCTTTGTAACTGAATTCCGTTTGAAGGCAAAACTAGAGATTAGCTCGTAGATCTGGATTTCAGACCCACTAGCATTATTACTTCAAAGTGGATTCAAACAAGCAGCTTTACTGCATCTCTAAATTTCGCCATCCTGAGTACTGTCATTTAAATGGTGGCAAAAAAAAAAAAAAAAAAAACCACAAACAAAAAGTAGCCAAATGTGAAAAATGCAGACAATCACCTCCTCTCTCATCAAGCCCGCATTGACCAGTGAGTTTAATTTCACACGTTCAGAACAGTTTTATTCGTTCTGTTGGGTGCTTCCTCCCTATCCCCGCCCCGCCACCCCCCGTATAAAGATATAGATATTGGGCATAAATAAGAAGAAAACCATTTCCCGATCTGCAGAATTTGTTCTGGTCCATCAGTTGCACAATAACTCCAGTTATGACATGCACACTCCAAGTTTCCCCCTCTATTAAAACGCCTTGTTATGAGGAGGAAGGGACCTGGTGATGGGAACTGGCTGGCGGTGAAGATCCCCCTCCTTCTCCTCCACCCACACCCGGACTGCTGGAAACGTTTAGGTCTTGCTTTGAGTCGATTTAAAATAAAATTTAAAAAAAAAAAAAAAATAAAAATAATTTTTAAAAAAGGGTATTCACGCAGGCTTCGGGAGGACCTCTCAGACGTGTAGGTGAGCTGTAAGTCCCGGGGGACATGCCACCCAGGTTTAATTTCTCCCACAAACCGACAGATTTCTCTGGTCTCCGAGTCGTGACCTTGCTGGGGGAAGTCCCCACGCCTTGCAACCTTGCGCTTGCGTCCCTCCAAGCTCTTGGGAAGGAGAAACTTTTTAGAAGGGGCTTATTTCCAGTGGCATAGACCGCAATGATTTCCTGACCCCGTGGCGCGGAGACCAGCGCCTTGGAAGGACAGCACAGCCCCACGGCACTGCGTGGGTTGAGAGTCAAGAGTGGAGAAGCGTTTCTGCTATCCTATCGGAGTGGGTTTTGTTTGGGTTTTGGGTTGGGTTTGTTTTATTGTGGTTTGGGGTTTTTTTGTTGTTGTTGGGTTTTTTGTTTTGTTTTTTTGTTGTTGGTGGGGGGGTTTTTTTGGGTTGTTTGTTTTTTTTTTTTTTTATTAACATCAACCCGAGAAGCCTTTTCCCGGGGAAAGTGGGTTTCCAGCGCAGACTGGCACCCGCGAAGTTTGCGGGAGTATTACGTGGGGAAGTTTTGACTCCTGAGTGATTTCCAAACGCCTGCTCCAGACAGACGCCCGCCTCGCACCGCCTCCTCGCCTTGCAGGAAGCAGGTGAAACACGAGTGGGAAATAAAAATAGCGCTGGGAGACAAGAGTTTCTTCACCACCCCCATCTGGCTGCCGGCGAGGGGTCCCGGGGACCCCGGGGATGAGGGACCGGGGCATCCCTTACCCTGCGGGGGATTGAAATGAGCCGCTAAATACCCTTCTCCCCCGCCCCTCCCCCGCTCTCCGCACCCCTCAACCGGGGTCAAGTAAATATGAATATTTCCGGGGGACGGTACTGCAGGCTGGTTTATCCCGGCGGAGACAATAGCATCGGTTATTTCCCATTAAATGCGGCGCAGGAGAGAGCTGACCCCTCTAAGGAAAGGCCTGGGTCGTCTCCTTTTGTCGTTTCTATTTCTCTTTACTCACACCCTACCTAATCCCCTAATGCCTGGTAGAGGACTGTCTCCGGACTTCTGCGCTCAAACTCCTTCTTTAAAGCTGCTATCTCTGACACAATTAGATAAATAACCTTCCCTCCCGGGACCGTTTTACGCCTTTTCTTTCTAAGCTTGACTCGACAAACGATGAGATAATGTTTTGTTTTCTGTAGCAAAGCCCTTGATGCGAAGAGTCCTCCGTGCCCACCCCCCACCCCCCGCAACACGCAGGTACAAAAATAACGTCCTCCCTAATATTGTGCCCGGTCCTGCTTGCCCGCGTTTTGTGGAGAAAGCCTCTAACTTGTCAATATTGATCTGGCGGCTCTCGGCAAACCCGGCGCTGCCAGTCAGCCGAGAGCTTTGGCCAGTTTCCCCTGCTGCTCCGTCTCCTTCCCGCACGCCCAACTTCCACCGAGTTTGCTGATGGTTTTGTTTTTTATTTTTTTTTTTTTTTTCCGCTAATTCACTTCAGATCCAGTCTTTCCTTCGTTCTGGCGTCGGGGGCTGTCTGGGAGAGCTCTCCCCCACCCTCACACACCTCTTTATGTGCACTTTAGATTTCTTTTTTTATGATGATGATGATGATGATGATTGTTTGGATTATAAAAGGTTTCTTTTGTACTGTCCGCCAACTTAACGTGCATCCTCTCTTTGCCGGGGGGGGGGCGGGGGGAGGGTTGGGGGCCACAACCACGAGCGATGAGCCACCGCGAGTGAAGGGGGGTGGCCCGTTGCCCGTCACGCTGCCTCCCGTGGGGGTCCCCACGGCACCAACTAAGCGGATCAAAGCCGCGACCGTTCCCGAAAATCGGCGGCGCGCTCGGGGCAAGGACCACCGGGCAGGATGCCGGCCTTCCCAAGGGTTCTAAGAGACCCCCCTCTCCCTCCTTACCCCCTCCTCTTTCTTTCTTCCCCCCGCCACCCCCCTCCCCCCCCCCAAAAAAAAAAAAAAAAACAAAAAAACAAAAAAAAAAAAAACGGGGGGCGGCGGGGCCCGGCGGGCGGCGGTGGGACCCAGCGGCGCTCG